ATATTAATCCATCCTAGACAATGTCAATTGCTGTTGTTTCACTTATTTCTTAAAAAGATAGTCAAAAATATGTTTCTCTCCTCAGAAAAACTCCATTGTTGTGTACTTAACTTCAAGAAATTTGATTTTTTGAAAAAAAAATAATGTAGTGGGTGTGTTTCACGTGGTGTGACTACTTCATGTATGTTTCCTAGTTTTAGGATATGTTTCTGTATTTCCCCCAACAAATCATTATTTCCTATGCTTAAAAAATAAAACAAATGCCTCAAATGCAATCAGCAAGGACATCAGCCATAAAAGAGGAAATAGGTAAAGTTGCAGAGATTAAAAAATTCATATAAAATAGACATACGTGAAAAAATAAAGGAGTGAAAGAAAGTTTTTCAACAATGCAATAATAAAATTGAAGCCAAGTTTAAGGTGATGAACAGCTTTGATGCTGTCCCATGTATAACTGTCCTTTCCATTTGTATTATTGGAAAATAAATAAAACAAAAGGTGAGAGCATCTCAAGAGGAAAAGCATGAATGGAAGCAAACACATAATCAATCAATATCAAAATGCCTTTCAATAAAAACTGCCAATCATCTTACTAGATGCTGAAAATCAAAAAACCCTCTCTTAAAAAGAGCTAGAAACAAGGTATGAGGTCTACTATAACTTGTATTCAGTTGTTTTAGAGGATTGGATTAGTATAGTAGGATAAATATAAAATGCAATCAAAGCAATGATGCTTAGAAAGAAATGGATACAAATCTGTAATTGTAGAGAATATGTGACTCTATAGAAATACCCAAAACATGAAGAGATTTTTCCGTTCTTTATTTCATTAACTTTCTTTAAGCCCTATAATTTCCTTTCTTCTAATTGTATTAGGTGTACTTTGCTCTTCTTTTTCCAATGTCTATAGTAGAAAATGTGTTAATACTTTAAGCTCTTTCTACTTTCTTAATATAGACATTTGACCTATACATTTCCTTCTATGAAAAATACTTTACCTGAATTCCATTCATTTTCATTTGTTGTATATTTATATTTGTCTCTTGTTATTTTCTAATACCCATTTTATTTTCTTCTTTGACCCACTGCTTATTGAGAACTGCATTATCTTATTGACACATATTTGTGAGTGGCCCTATTTCTTTCTACTTTTTATGTCTAAGTTCATTTAGTGGAGAACATATTTTGCAGTGATGGAGAATATGTTCTGTATAATTTTCATCATTTTAAATTTATTTTACATTTCACATGGACCCACTTTAAAAATGTTCCATATGCACTTGAGAAGAATATTTATTCTGCTGTTAAATGGGAATCTTCCACAGGTATGTGTTATTTATAGCTGTTTTTTATTATTGTTCAATTATTCTACCTCCTTGCTGATTTTTGACTGGTTATTATTGGAGTATTCAACTATTACATTTGAGCTTCTAGATGTGATATGCTCAACAATACATTAAATACATATTTTTTACATAATTGCTTTTTAAAACAGTTAGATAAAAGAGAAAAACTATGCATTTATACTGTCTTTCATAGCTACATAATTCTTTACTGATGCTCTTAGTTTTCAATGTGCATATGAATTACCATATGGAATTAATTTGCTTTCAGTTTGAAGAAAACGTCCTTTGGTAAATGATGACAACAAATTCAGTTGTTGTTATCTGGGAATTTCTCTCTTTTATGCACACACATTTTTTAAGAAATACCTTTGCTGGATATAATTTTGTATGAAGGGTTCTTTTTTTCACTTTGAACATGTTATCTCACTTCCTATGGCCTTCATAGTTTTTTTTCAAAATTCAGATTTAATTCTAATTATATTAGGATTCAGTTGGATGCGATTAATCAATTTTCTTGTTTTCAAGAAGTTCTCTTTGTCTTTTTTGTATATTTACAGTGATGTATTTTTTTTTAAATAATTTTTGTCTTCAACTGCTACTTTCCTCCAGAACAATTTCCAAGGACTTTAAATGTATTCAATTTATTAATTTTCTGCAGTTTCAATGGCAACATATTTGTGAACTCTTCATGCTATCATACTGAAGTAGAATTCTCTGATGTGATATATTTTTATAAGTAAAAAATAGAAGCCTTAGAAGATTACTGGAATTAGAAGCAATGTCCACAGAATTACATTTCAAACACTAGCAATAATTCATTGAAAATATAGTTTTAGAAGGTAACAAATTTTGGAAAGTTTACTATAGCAACAAAATGCATACAATACTAACAATTGCTATAGCAAAATAAGTAAAAAATTTTTGTAGCTAAAATGAAAGCTTTATTGGCATATATTAAGGAACACAAATGAATCATGATCTTGATACAGAAGACTTATGAACACAAAGTTATCAGTGTTCTCAAAATTAGCTTATATTTTAATATTATTTTTACCAAAGTACTTAGGAGTTCTCATGGAACTTGATAAATTGATTTGATATTTGTCAGAAATACAGCAAATGAGCTAGAATTGCTCTGAAAAGCTTAAAGAAGAACATGGTAGAAGCAAATGGCCTGACAAATATCAGGATATTTTAAAGTGATCATGTTATTGATGCAGGGTTAGAAAAATAGACTGTTGAAAAAGAACAGTGATCCCATGTAAGACTGAGGATGCAGAAATTGTGATTTGTGAGAAACTAAACACTGAGAATCACCGGTTATGGTATAAGTTACACTAGCATAAACCTTGAGAAAATCAATTTATCAGTATGGAAAAAAATCGATTCCACTTAATGACCTGAATCGGAAAAGTAGCATTAAGGAAAGCAAATTACATAATTAATATTTTTTAAATTAGGATTGGAAACACTAATAATTGATAAAGAGAGTGTATCAAAACTTCAATGAACTGAAAAACCAACATAAGTTTTAAAGAGCAAACCACAACTTTGTACAAAGTATTTGAGACATGTAAGATTTAAAAAGTTATTTCAAATATATTATTTGAAACATTTGAAACAGTTTTTTCTATTCTTAATATATACAGTAATAATAATTGCATTAGTCCTACTTAAAACTCAAGTAAATCAATAATACTTAGAAACATTAATTTTAAAAAAATAGCAAAAAAAAAAAATTATGAGCAAGCAAATGGAAACTGATGTTGCCTGGAACTGAAGGGTAAAATTTAACCACAATGACTCATAAACTTCCTTTACCCAGTCAATAATTTCCTTGGTGTACAAAGGTTTGGAAACCATATTCAAATTCCAGGATAAGTACAAAAATATGAGGAAGTGTTTAGTATTAGGCTTATCAATGCTTTTCTAAGTAATAAAGGAGATGGCATTGTTCAGCAACAAGCAACGTTCCCGCTGAAATTCTTAAATTATTAGACTACTTCAAAGAGCGAATATGCAAAGATACTTTCTCACATAAATAATGTCAACTAAAAGACAAAAGCCTCATTGTAATTTTATTAATTCTATCTTGAAGAACAATTCCCATCTTCTGTTTTGAACTATCATATATGAAATCATCCACAAATATTCCCTGCACTAATTAACTGTGCTCAAACTTGTCACACACTTTCTAAAAATATAGCACAAACATATATTCTGAATCTGCTTTGAGATAATGTTCCCCTGCTTTTAGCTTCTAGGGTTTACTTCTAGTTCATGAAAATAAAGATTACTGACTCACTTAGTATAGCTCTTATTAACTCTATTAGGAACCTCTTTGCGCTGCAAATTACTATATAATGAGGCACAACCAGAAGAAATTTAGAAAAAATTACTAGCTCAGGGTATTTTACTGTTGACTACTTGGAAGTAAGGTGTTTATAGCTTAAAGCAAAAACATATATACTTACATATTTGTTTTGGAAAATGACTATTAGTTTTGGAAATCCTAATATGGTATTATACAGTAAGATTTAAAGTCATTTAAATGGAATATCTGTCTACCTATTTAAGAATTTTGGAAACCAATTGGACATTGATAGCCAGTGGTTTGGAATCACTGCTTTAATATGTAATAATAGTTAGCACAGTATTTGTTAATAATTGAACAGTCCCAACTGAAATAATGATTTTGTCCTACCCATAGTGATGAAAACTTTTATCTGTTTGCTTTAGACTGAAATGTTACTATGAGATAATCAGTGTTCCTGTGTTGAGTAGATATATGTCTTTCATTATTCAAAATAAGAAAATAGACTAGCATTATAAATAAAGTTCAGTATATGGAGATGAATGACAACCAAAATTTTATTTTGGGGGTGAAATTTTGAGAACCATAGCAGTAAAGTGGGATCAATTATTTCTTATGTTCTGTTTTATTTCAAACTGAAGCTACATACTTAAATATTGCTTAAGTATTTTAAGTATTGTTCCAGATAACCAATATATATTTCCATGTAACTGACATATGGAAAAAGAAACACTTGATCTTATAACTTCTCACATTCTCTTACTTGTGTAACCATGATATGCAAGTCTATAGAATTTCAATAAAAGTGACATTTTTCCTCTAAGTGGCAGAAAATGGGTTTTTGCTCTATCTTAATATAAATGGCCATGCTCTTAAATGACACTTTTTAGATGCCTGTGGTAGTCATCAGACTACATCATTTTGTAGGCCTTATTGTCAAGCAGTCTATCTTTTAATACATAGCTTCTGAAATCTTTCAAACACAGTGAAATTCTATCTCGTCAACTTTGCCGAATACATTGGAAATGTATGGATTTATGGAAACGGGATGATGTGTCTCTTATGAAAGAACCCTTCAAAATTATTTTTATAAAGTAAATCTGTTACATTCATAAAGGAATTGTTAAATTTCATTGGCTTTTTATGGGGTTCCCTTCATTCAATTTTTTATGGTGTGAATATTTTGGTTCATGACAGCTGGAAAACTGGGAGAAGAGAAGGGTCTAGTGGAGTTGGGATTGTCTGAAGTTTTGCAAGGAATTTATGAACTAGAAAAACAAGTATTATGTTGGGGAGCCATTTTGAAATGATACAAATTGTTGTAATTTTCACTTTTCCAGATAATTCCCTCAGCATTTTGGCAAAACATAATGGATTCAATCGTCAGAAGCAAGAAGTCTATCTTTTACCAATTGTAATCAGTGATAGTGGAAATCCTCCACTGAGCAGCACTAGCACCCTGACCATCCGGGTCTGTGGCTGCAGCAATGATGGTGTTGTCCAGTCTTGTAATGTTGAAGCTTATGTCCTTCCTATTGGACTCAGTATGGGCGCCTTAATTGCCATATTAGCATGCATCATTTTGCTGCTAGGTACGTATTTCCTTCAAAACCTAATGGTCACCATTTTTCTGATTAATAAATGATGATAAATATGAACAGCAAACTCTAATCTGGACAGTAGTCAACAATCCTGTTAGAACAGGAGCTTCCTTTCCCACACTGAGAGCACTAAGAAGAGGCAGAGAGAGGAAGGACTGTGATAGTACATATGATAGGCTATTTTCAGCCCTGTCACTAGAGAACAGATGGACAAAGCATTTAAAAAAATCATAAAGGTGATGCAAGTAGGGCTGAGCCTTTCTGTGCTTACCACAAAATCTAATTATGTAAGGAGACTTTCAGCTCTTTTAATGCACACCAGTTTACTACAATAGGAGCTTCTTCTATGCCCACAGTGCTGTTATATCTATACAAAAGATGTGCAAATGTTTACTGAGTTCATCAGATACCAGAATTTAGAGAGATAAAGAGCAAACAAAGAAATCAAAACTGTTTTCTTCAAATTAAAATTGTGTTCCCCAGATATTTTAATGGTATTAACATCAAATTTAAATGAAGATTGAAAATTAAGGAAAAGGTTCTCTTCCATTAAGAAACCTAATTATAAAATAATATTAAGGCTAGGCATGGTTGTACAAATCTGTAATTCCAGCATGCTGGAGGTGGAGGCAGGAGAATCCAGAGGTAGACACCAGCCTGGGCTACATAGTAAAACTCAGTCTCAAAAGAAAAAAAAAATGGTAGAAAAATATAACAGAGAATAGTTGTATGTTATCCTTCCCTGAATAAAACACCTTAAAGATAATGTCAGTTACTGTCATCACAGTTACATGTCTTTCTTAGTCAGTTTCCTGGATTTATGCATCATTTCACTGACAATACCCCAAGTTTTATTTGGCTGAACTGGGCAGTTTGGTATTTGTTCCTTTCTCTTTTCCCACCATGAGGCCTACCGTTGTAAGTGAAGGAGATCCAGCCTTCATTCAATGCAAGAAGTTGCTCATGTAATTTTGGTATTTACTTAAAAACAAAACATTATTGAACTGAAGAGTGTTTTTAATAGTTGTTAATATACAACTCACAATCTGGGCATTTAGCTGAGTGGTAAAATGCTTGTATAGTGTGCACAAGGTTCTAGGGTTCATAGCCAGCACCACAAAAAAAGAAAGAAAGAAGAAAAAGGATTTCTAAAACACATTATACACTAAAATAGATAAAGTGTCATTTTTAAATTGAGGATTGCAATCACAGCCTTGAATTCTGCCATTTGAGCTATGCCTTCAGTCCCTTTTCTTTTAACTTTAATTACTTTTTAATTAATTTCCAGCTAAGTATTCACACTTTTGCCCAAGCAGACCTAGAAACATGATTCTCCTACCGCTACCATCACACCTAGCTCCTTTTTAAAAAAAGAAATAGAAGACAGACACAAATCAAAAAATATTAAATGACTTGCACAAGAAAATTAGTGACATTATCTCTGCTAATTTCCATTTCCTACTGTTCATGGTAGAGCTGATACCAGGATGAAATATGGTTTTTCACAATAACTAGATAGAAACTATCTCATTTAAGCCACTTCTCTCATAATTTAATTTAAAAAATTAATGTGGAATTAAATTTACTACAAATTTCAGTGTTTACCTTTCAGAAATAAATTTAGATTAATTATCTAATAAGGATAATTATATTTGTAGTCTTATAATGTTTTAAACGCCCCTCTCTCTTAACATATGTGGTATGTTGTTTGTAAAATGATGTGTTTATTTGGCTAATTTTGTTTGTTTGTTTTCCTACAGTCATTGTGGTGCTGTTTATAACTCTGAGGCGACATAAAAACGAGCCATTAATTATTAAAGACGATGAAGACGTTCGAGAAAACATCATTCGCTACGACGATGAAGGAGGAGGGGAGGAGGACACAGAGGCTTTTGACATTGCAACTTTACAAAACCCAGATGGAATTAATGGATTTTTACCCCGTAAGGATATTAAACCAGATTTGCAGTTTATGCCAAGGCAAGGGCTTGCACCAGTTCCAAATGGTGTTGATGTCGATGAATTTATAAATGTAAGGCTGCATGAGGCAGATAATGACCCCACGGCCCCACCATATGACTCCATTCAGATTTATGGCTATGAAGGCCGAGGGTCTGTGGCTGGCTCCCTCAGCTCCTTGGAGTCCACCACATCAGACTCAGACCAGAATTTTGACTACCTCAGTGACTGGGGTCCCCGCTTTAAGAGACTGGGCGAACTCTACTCTGTTGGTGAAAGTGACAAAGAAACTTGACAGTGGATTATAAATAAATGAATGGAACTGAGCATTCTGTAATATTCTAGGGTCACTCCCCTTAGATACAACCAATGTGGCTATTTGTTTTAGAGGAAAGTTTAGCACCAATCATCTATAAACTCAACCACATTTTAATGTTGAACCAAAAAAAAAAATAAAAATAAAAAGTATATGTTAGGAGGTTATAAATCTTGTGGAGTGTGAATTAAGTATGTGGAGTGTTTAGAAGTCTTTGGATTTTTTGATATTTACTTGACCACCACAGACAAAGATTGGGATCCTAGCTAATTCTTAGAGAAATGGTTTAAAAAGAGGAAAAAAAATCAAAATTAAAAGGTGCTTTCTTAGGAAAATGGACCTGCAAGGAATCTGCTGCTGATATGTGTCTTCTGCAAGAATTTTTATGAATGCAAATGGTTTTTTCCCTTCACCAGTAAGGATCCCGCCACAACTGATAAAGCAATACTTGGTCTGCTGTACGTTAGGACTTTTTGGAGTTTTGGGAGGCCTCGTAGATTTTACGGTACGGTGACCACACATTGTACATAATTGTTGGCCCCACTCATCAAAGACTGAATAGCATCTTTAAATATTGTGTCGAGCCTTAAAATATTCATATGTTCGTAATCCATTCCAGGGTGGGGATTGCCAACTCAGTGGTGGGAGGAGAGAGAAATCCCATTCAATCATGCTTGTTTCTAGAAGCAGGATTCCTCGTTCCCTCCACTTCATCTTCCACATGGACACAAAGATAAACTGTATCCCACAGTGGACTACATCAGAGACAGATGGTTTTATTCCTAGCGCGTGAATTTATTTGTTTAATCCTCAAAATAAATATTTTATTGATGTCCATTAATGCTTTTATTTATTAAGGTTGGTAATCTATAGATTAAGGGACTATATGGGAAAAATCTAAATTATATCCATTAATAATCCTTTAGATTGTTTTATATAAATATATATACAATGAATGTTTAATACATGTACATTTTGATGAGATAAGTATGGCAGGCAATATTATCAAAAGGAGAGCTTATAGTCTCTTTAGAGTAGAAAGTGTTATTGTGACTGGTGATGGCAGGAACAGCAATTTCCCAGAGAAACTTTTAGACTGTTTTCTATTTTGTTCATAATCCTAGTATTGGTGTTTTTACTACAAGCACAAACATCTGAAAGTATATTGATTCCTGTGAATATTTAAACTTTAGTCTTTTAGAAACCTACATAACACCCTGCCCAATGTTTCAAGTTGCCCCACTATTTTAGAGCAGGAACAGATTTGTACATAATTTTACTGCTTATGTTTTTAGCACTCTATCCCTGATCATGGTGATGCACAGAACGTGTTAGACTACAAAAAAAGAGAAGAGCACTAGAAGATGTGAGCATATTTAATTTGTAATGCAAACCTGCCATGTAGGAATAGAAAATGTATGATAAAACTCAAGTATTACATGCAGATCATTTTAATTTTCTACTTTGCTTTAATGCAATATTGTTTATTTACTCCATGTATTGTATTCAGAGAAACTCCTGTATTGTTTCCTACTTTGTGAAATATATTTTTATAAATACCTTTGTTGTCATCATTTTTTTCAGCCAAATGAAGACATATTAATTGAATTATCAACTCTCACTAACATTCTAAAATGTTCAGCCAAATCACACGAAGGCCCACTTTTACTTGTAGTAGTCTTTATTACAAAGAACTAGGGAAGAGAAATGGCTTGTTAATGATCACATAGCAAGAAATCAGCAGAGACATAAAAGAAATACACAATACTGAAGATAGTGCAGCTTTGCCCTTGGAAGCCTCTAGAAGCAGATGCTTCCAGAATAAAAGATAAAGGAAGAGGGAATAATATTAGACAGGGAAAGACTTCAGAAAAGATTGTAGATCTAAAATATAAAAATAAAGAGAACAGAGAGCCAGATTTGGCAAGAGAACCTCAGATTGCAGTGCAGATCTAAACAACCTCTGTTTTCTGCCAGCTCATCAGAAGGTTCTGGAATGAAAGATTATCCATTAGAGCAAAATCTTATTGAGCAAAAATAGTCAGGGTCTGGTCACCTTCTATCTTAGTCATTGGCCTTGGGCTGCTTAAGAAAAGAATCAACTTGGCTTGAAAACTGAAGGACTTAACTTCTGCAAGATGCCTCTACTGTGAGAGAAGTGAAATGTTTGCATACAATATACTATACTAAGAATATAATAGCTTTCCACTGGTTTTAACAACTCATTATTGACTCCCTGTTTCTGAGAAAAATTCATGTTAGTGCTTATCATACTGGCTACTAAACATATTTACACAAAGTCAGAGTGATTGTTCAGTTATCATGGTATCGAAAACCTGGTGAATATGTTATTAATACTAGTTGCAATAATAATCAATAGGAATATTTCAACTATCTTACACATTCTAATGCAAGGTAAAATGATTTTTAAAAATTATCTCATGTACATCAGACTTGTTTTTATTTACTTTGCAGTGAAGTGGCATAGATTAAACAAACATGTATAACAGAAATATCACACTATTTTTTCCAGGAATATAAAATCTATAATTTCCAATCTTGATAACCAATAAAGTTAGCTACATATAGTAGGTTTTATTTTTGTGGACAGGTAGATATTGTCTGTTGTACCAGTTACCCAAATCTTGTGACAAAATTTGCTTTTTCCAGGAAGAAAACATGAAAACGTGGACCCCTTACTAATTTTCTTTGCCACTCTCATTCTAGTATCTTATGAACAAAATTTCAAGTTTTATAATGTGGGATAATGTGAGTACTACTGTGTGCATAATACAGCTATACTGTATGAATTATGCCTTTAGAGTTCCTGGAATGAAAGATCTGAAGAAAGAACACACACACACACACACACACACACACTTAGACTGAAAGCTTTTATTTTAGCAACTGACTTACTAGGACTTTCCCATCCAAAAGAGGTCAATATGATTCCAAATCATTTATAGGATTTAAAAACTCAATCCTCAACTTGCAAAGTAATATAATGTTCACTTTCTTAAACTGATTTTTATATCTGTATATTTTTTCTGTTCCATCAATTACTGCTACATCAATATAACTTTTCTAATATAATGCTTCTTCACTCTACCAGCATTTTATTGCATCTGTGGGTCTTTATGTATCCTAAATATTAGTCCTTTTCCATACTTGGAAATGGACTCTGCCCAAGAGTTCTCTAACTAATGAAGAAGTATTGTTAATTTGGGGCCAGGTGAGACAAAATTGTCTCCCTCTGTCTATCTCTAAGGTAATTGGACACCATGCAGGATCAATTCAGTCTCTATTCTCTCTATTATTTGATAAAGCTAAATTACAAAAATATCTCTTAAACACCCATGTACACATATAGTATTAGGCAGTCATTATACTTTTTATTATTAGTGCAGCTATTACAATTTTTAAAATAGTTTGCAGTAGGATGACTGGAATGGGCCAGAAATTAAATTCATGTGTTACCCTTACCTCACAGACTTGTGATTTCCTGAATATGAACTTTAAAGTAAAAATGTTTAGAAAAATAAATGTATGGGTAAGTGTATGTACATATATAAAAGAAAAGTTAGATTCACTGGCATCACCAGTGAAGGCAAGAATGCTTAGAAATAGACAAATGTATCTTTGGGAGAGTTTGTTTAATAATATGCTTAAAGTAAAACAAGTCTCTGCATGAGACTTTGAAATCTCCTTGGAGCAGCCGGATTCCATACTGAGACTCAACAGAGTACTGGGCTATGCTGCATTTTGAAGAAGGGAAAGCGGGTGCTGAGAGCTAAGTAGTCAATTACTTTTTATAGCCACATAAGGACTGGAGGCAAGTAGTCCCTTCCAACAAGTTGTATTATGTGATCACTGGCTTTGCAGGGAATCTCACGAATGTATAACCTTCTGATTGCCTTTTTGATTGAAAGTTCCATCTGAGATCAAGGCAGTGCAACCAGTAATAAGATTTCAAAAAATCCCATCACTGGCACTGTCGGAAAGGTTGAGCATGACTGAAATCCCATCATTGTCAGTCAAAAAGATAAGGTAACAGTGGGCATCACTATAAAAGCTGTATAAATGCAAGATTTAAACATGAATATCAGCATTAGAAAGAATACACACATCCATACACACACACACACGCACACACACACACACACACACACACACATATATACACACAAGTATACAAAAGTTACTAGGGATAATTTATATTTGTAAGTTTTATTTTACTACCATAAACCTGAAATAGTGGCTGTTTGCTTTACTGAATCTACCCTTGAATTTAAAAGCAATTTGACAGAGATTATAAAGGGTTTATAATATAAGCTTTTATTTATTAACAAAAAATAGCTCATTATAACTGGGATTAAAATTAAATGCATCACTTCATGAAACTGGATTTAGATGTTTTGTGCCATAATATTTTGAAGGAGAAAATAGTTATAGAATATATTTTGTAGAAAGAACTTTCCTTCAAATTTTAATTTTCCTTCAGTTTCAATGTTTTGGAAGTATTGAGGAAGAAGTGGCTCCAAATGGGAAGATTCAAGAAGGTTCCTTTTCAAAAGATTGGAACTGAACAATGAGTGAATAAAAAGCCATAGCTCTTCTAGAATTTAAGAGGGCAAATAATAAAAAACACCACATGCTAGGATTAACAGCACATGTTTGACACTCAGAAAGATCCAGAAATTGAATGTTTATAGGACATTCAAGGGTTGCCTTAAAGATGTTCAGAGACTTATTAAGGAACTTTCTAAGATTAAATTACATATCCAATATCTATCTAGAGATAAGAGTTGAACTCCAGTCTTCTGGGCCATTTACAAGACTGTGAAGTTGTGCTTTTGTATGTCTACTTCTTCTCTTTTATTTATGGCAGTTTCATCTAGTTTCAACCAGTGGGCCATTTGCTGGAGGTGTTGGAGCCTGTGGGCAATCTTCTTCCAATTTGAGTTGTCTGTCACCATCTGTTTCACACCTTGAATGCAAGTATTATTTTTAAGCAGTATCTCCACTAATAGATAATTGATATCTCTATTATTATCCACAGATTACAGAAGAGGGTGGCTAGGAGGAATGTCACAGGATGCTGTGTGAAGAAAATGATGGTGGAAAGCAACAACTTCAATGAATTCAGAGGCCAGGACAACAAAAGGAAATAAGAGGGCACTACAGGTCTCCAGGTCCATCCTGTGAACCCACAAAAATATGAACAGATTTTAACAACTGTTGCCTAAGATTGAATGCAATATTTTATGAATCACTGATTTGGATGACTTCCTGATTCTGTTGTATGCTTTCCCTTAGTGAAATTTTTCTCTAATGGGTTTTTAGATTTTCTTTAATTCAACCTCTACAGTTTGGGAGCTATTCCTTATTTGTCAAGTTTGACTGTTGAATATGTAAATGTATGATCTAGGCTCAATGTTTGAGCTATAAAAAACAATATTTCAAATAAACTTTAAAATTCCTTCATAGTAAAAATTTATTTTCTACAAAATATAATGCTTGTGACAGACAAAATATACACTCAACATCTCTTGCCTCTCAAAGACCTTGAGGTATAGTTGGATAAGTTGCAGGAGCCAATAAATGATAAGATAATAGATTTGGCTATACTATGAAAGATATGAGCAGACGGTGTTTAGCAAACAGACAAAGAATACAAAAGTCTATCAAGGCACAGTATCCTGGTAGAGCTATGCTTGAAAGAGACATGGGACTGCTACGCTGGGAGTATCAAAGGGTAAAGTCAGGCTAGGTTATAGGCACTTGAAAATGAGTGGTGATGTTGGGTAGGAGCTTTCTCAATAGACTTACTGCTAGAGATTTTTGACATGTGAAATTCTCCATTTGACAAAACTTTCAGAGCCTTATTTATTTAATAGATATGTACTGAGGATAGTCCACAAATCTAGATTTGGGGTATATTTCAATGAATAGGACAGGCAAGACCTAAGCCTTCAAAGACTGGTTGGTGTTTAAAAAGGAAATTGAGTAGAAATATGACAAAGGGACAGTGATATTGGTAGAAAAATAAAATAGAATGTACAAGAATCTAAATTTTTTATATGGAGTAGACTAATATTTGAGTTGTCAATTTTCATGATAAAAGCAAACAACAGAAAGATCTTTGTCTTACTTTCTCTCCTGGACTAAACCAATAGCATATTCAGGAAATGAAAATGAGGTCTAGATTATAGTGGAGGAGGAAGAAGGACACACAATAAAATGTGGAGAGCTGAGCACAGACCATACTATTTATGTCTTTGCAGACCATGATAAGAAGCTCAGATTTACTTTATGTGAATGAGGATGTAATCGAAAGGATCTAAAAAAAGCAGGGGAGTGACTTTTTTTTTTTTGACAGACTGGGGTGTGAATTCGGGGACTACAACTTGAGCCACTGCACCAGCTCTTTTTTTGTGATGGATTGTTTTTCAAGATAGTGTCCTATGAACTACTTGCCCAGGCTTGCTTCAAGCCACAATCCTCCTGATCTCTTCTCCTGACTAGCTAGGATTGCAGGCACGAGCCACTGGTACCTGGCT